TCACGGTTTTAGTAACGCAGTAACGCAGCGTTCCTATGGGAAAGTAACGGTAATCTAATTACTGTTTTTGCAATAGTAATCCCTACTTTACTCGTTACTTGAAAAAAGTAATCGGATTACAGTAACGCGTTACACCTCCACCAATGCTGTTATTAACTCTGCATTATTAACTAATGCTGATAAAATGCTGTCATTTTATCAATAAAGCAGCACATCTTCATAACAGTCTTGTATTTACTCAGAGTGTAATGGATTACAACCGCGACACGCTGAAGTGCAGACGTTTTATCTACTTTATTGATCATTATTAGATGTCATTAGAATCAGTAACATCCACTCCAGAGTTTTTGTCTTTTTTACTTCCAGAAAAGTAAAACGTCTCGCTCCGAACTAAACCTACATTTTCCATTTAATTGTTCAGATTACTGTGTGTCGGGCTGAGTGGAGATAGAGGGCTGGTTCCCCCTTCTACTTCAACACAAACCAAATCAGGTCAGGACGCTTAACTGTAGACCAATCAACCTTTACTAATCTAATGTCAGTTTTATTTAACATGAATAAACGAGAACTCTCTTTGCTTGAAGAGTGCTTTGAATGAGCGGGATCAGCAGGGCTGGCGTGGGCATGATGGGAATGAACCATTTGATCTGCTGAATATTAATGCTCCTTCAAGATTATAAGGATTATTAGTTCTTTTCTCGGCTGGCGATGGAGTTATTTTCAGAAGCCATCGATTAAATTACAGCGGGAACTGCCTTTGATATGAGCACATCCACATGACGAGGCACTTTGGATTATCAGTGCTGCTCAAACCCACTCCCCAACCATTCTGTGGTAATGAAATTGAAAAACACACAAAGGGAATTCAGATGAGAATTTTTAGGCTGTATCTTGATAACTGAGCTACTCATTAAGGAATCAAATTAACAGCAACTTGATCTGAAGCATGCTGGCATAGCAATGCTTATTGATTTGGGAAGTGTCTCTGAACATTAACTAACCTTTGTGTTCTTTCCTTTGTCTCCCCAGGTAGGAAGACCATTCTTGGTCTCTTTCAGTGTATACTCTTGTGTTTTTGTGGCTGTGGTGTAAATATGTGTGTGTGTGTGTATGTTCTCTGTTAATTGTCACAGGTTTAGTCCCTACGAGTGGTATAACCCCCACCCTTGCAACCCTGACTCGGATGTAGTGGAAAACAATTTCACCCTGCTTAATAGTTTCTGGTTCGGAGTTGGAGCTCTCATGCAGCAAGGTAGACGCCTCTGCCTCCCCCCTTTTTCTAGCACAAGTCCCACTTTTTTGCTGGGGGTCGACCTTGCTCTTTGACCAGGCCCATGACCATGCATGGGGGCCTCTGTGCATGTAGCTAGATGCTTTACGTGTAGTCCAGCAGGATGGTTTGAGAAGACTTTGAGCAATGTGATTAGTAGATGACAGTGGTGCTCCTGCATGCTTTCCTTCTCCCTCCTCACATTCCTGACCTATTAACTGCCATCACAACAGGTAGGTATCCCCACCCAGAACATGTGAGATGGATCAGATGTATGACTTTCTGTGAGAATGTAAACTTTTTCTGTGTTTGTTTTTTTCCTTCTGCCAAATCTTCTCAACTAATCAGCACCCTTAGATTGAGAAAATTAACAGAAATGGAAATAGAAACACTATGATAGCACTTTCTATTACAGCTCAGTAATAACGTGGTAACAGTAGAGTAACAACGGGGAAACAAGAGCGCAACATTGTGGCAATTTCTAAGTTATTACAATTCAGTTACCTGTGGTAGTTTTTGTGTAATAAGCAGGAAGCAGAAACTGTTTGTTTCTATTTAATAGAATATTAATAAGCAGGTAAAAAAAACTTTTAAAACAAACTTAAAGTTTAAGTTTTAAAAGAACAACAATGTTAGAACAAGTGTGATGTAATTGGCAGTTCTTTGAGCAACAATTTCACAGATACAGTCCTATTGAAAAAGTGCACCATTATGTTTATAATCAGAAATAAACCACTACAAAATTTACTGATGGTGCTGTAGTCTGAGTACACCACACCTCCAACCCCCTCACCTTAACCGATGAAAACTGGAGTGTTCAAGTTTTCGTCAAATATATATATATATATATATATATCTCACATATAATATATATATACATATATATATATATGCTTATTTGAAAGTATGACTAACCACATCTAGTTCTCTATCCATATTTGCAATAATAACGGTGAGCTTATTTCATCACGATCTTACTTTTATGCAATCTTAGTTTTTAAAACTAGTCTAAGTATTATCTGGTAAGCTAACGTTAGCTACTAACCTGCTGTTAGCTACTAACCTGCTGTTAGCTACTAACCTGCTGTTAGCTACTTTGATCGTGGTGTAAGTTGACAGTATGTGATGTAATAACTACAACAGACATGGTCCTAAATATAACTTAAGGAATTAAAAAAGGGTTTTATTTACCTTGCAGTCCTACAGCAGCAGTCTGCCACCTACTGGCAGCCAGCTCTTTGCAGGCTGTTCTATTCATGCTTATTACACACAACCTACCACAGGTGTTTCCAGGTAATACTCACTCACTTTTCAAGTTTGTTTTAATAGGTTATTAATATATTATTGGGATTTGATATTATATTAGTCATTAATTTATTATTAAATAACAACGGACAGTTTTGCATTTTGCAGCTCTGTTTCTTTCTTATTTCACAGAAACTACTGCAGGTAACTGAATGTAATAAAATTACCACATTATTACGTTCTTGTTTCTGCATTATTACCCTACTATTATCACTTTATTACCGAGCTGTAGTTCCACATTATTAACCCCAGATTTGTTATCCAATTACATATATTTAAGCGTAACAGTACTCAACTGTAACCACTGTTGCAACAATGATATTACTTGGATATTAAGTGGTTATTACTTCGGTAGTTGCATACTAATAACTTACTACATTGTTACGCTCTTGTTTCCCCTTGTTACTCTACTATTACTGCATTATTACTGAGCTGTAATAGAAAGTGCTACCAACTTGGTATACACTTTTTTTTGCGACCAATATCTTATATATTTAATAACACAATAAGAGATATGCTGTATGTCATATCATAAACATTTGCGTGCAAAGCCTTGAAAGCATGGTATATACTGTATGTATGACTTGCAACAAAACACTGGAATGGAGCATTAAGGGAAGTAGCTGCAAGATTCCAGATTGTGTTAAAGGATCAGTTTATGCAAATGACAAGAAGGAAAATAAGAAAGCTTGCCTTTAATGGCAGCTAGCTGTGCAGATGGTTTTGTCCAGACTCTATCATCGCTTCCACACTGGACTGTCATTATGGCTTAAACTATTTCCCATCTCATCAGTGTGCTGTGGTCTTCCTGCAAATTATGTAGACATTAGGCCTCAAAGAAAGATAATGTTTTCCAATCAGGTTACGTAGCTCCAAAAACACCACAGATGATAGTGGCCAAGTTAATTTCTTGTACTCACAAAACTAAAAGAATGAAACTTCTGACTATAGTAAAAGTAATCCTTTTGAACTTTTTCTTGATTACACACACAGTATAGAGAGAGCATTTATCTGCACAACCAACACACTAGGAAGTCGCTGATGTCGTTCATAGAGCCAGGATGGTTATTGCGCTGCAACAGGCTCCATCAGACTTGTTCAAGGCCTTCCCAGTGAAACTTCAGCAGGGTGAACTAAAATAGAGAGAATAATATAAATCACAAAGCCCATCGAAGTACTTTAGCTCACATGATGAAAACTGAACAGCTCTACCAGGGAAATTACAGTGCATTTTTTATATCCAGCGCCAAATCACAACATCGGTCAGCTCGAAGGGCCAGAAAGTAGTCACAACATTTACTTGTTACACACCTGTTGCACCTTTATTCCTCTAACTAATCTAAACTAATGGATTAGACTCGTTTTTCACCTCAGAATTACTTTTTACACCCCTAATCACAAAGTGAAAAAATGGTTGCGTATAACTAAAGTTGAGAAAACTATTTCACTGAGGCTCGGCAGCTCTGGCATACCGGTATGATTTGTGTAGAGCTGCAGAAATGTTTGTCCTTCTGGAAGGTCCTCATCTTTCCACAGAGCAATGCTGCAGCTCTGTCACAGTGACCGTCACATTCTTGGTCACCTTAATCACTCAGATTGTCCAGATGGACAGCTCTAGGAACTTATTCCATTTACAGATAATGGAGGCCACTCATTGGGACAGCCATGCTGCAGTAATCGTTCTATACGCTTCCCCAGATCTGTGCCTCTAAGTAACCATGTCTGAGAGGTCTACAGGCAGTTCCTTGGACTTCATGGTTTACTTTGTGCTCTGACGTACAAAGTTGTAGAAACATCCGACAGATGATCACTGGAAACAGAATGCAGCTGAGCCCAAAACGTTTTATACATGTTACATTTTTGTTTTCAAGAAAACTTTGTTTCACTTTGTCATCAAGGAGTTTTGTGATTAGAATTTTGAGGTGAATAATTAATTTAATCATTTAAAATTTAACATGAAAGAAATATGGATCAGGTGAAGCACTGTGAATACTTTTCAGATGAACTATACAGGTCTCAGAACAACAAAACTATCTGCATTACTCAATCACTCATTGGCATTTATATTGCATATGTTTCTCTTAGCTAGTGGGATGCTAGCACTTACTTATAGACCATGCTTACTAATATTTCCAGATTAGCTTGTAACACAGATCCATAAGTATTCCAGTTACTTTGAACAAGTAAATAAAATTATAGATTTTTTCATATCTTTACCCCAACAAAGCAAATGAAAACATCTGATAAGCATTCAGCATACGTTTGTAGCATCTGACAAAGAGTTCAGTAAATGTCATGTAGTGTAGCTTGAATTGTAGTTTAGTGTTCACTAAAAAGTCAGCAGAGTAGATGATGGAGACATCATGTTGAGAAGATGTGGAGCCAGAAGACTGTGGGACTAGTCTCGACAAACACACAGTAGCTACATAACAGTATGCTGGTCTGCACTGTGGAGAGGCTCCCCTGCCGGGCGGCTTGCCTAACCCCCCAGAAAACTGTGGGACGTGCTGTTTGGTCATGACGTTACCTTGGGTACATGACAGTCAGCCCCAACCAGGCTCTGTTTGGTCTACGCTCGCCTCTCTGAAGGTCGTCCACTGTTTTCTGTTCTGGTGCAAAAGTATAAAAAGTCCAAACCTGGTGTTACCTGCATCTGATTGCTGGTCATGGGTCCCACACAGAACAAACATTGTATTGTTACCAGCACTGATGAATGTGTGTTTGTTCTCATTCATGTTGAGTTGTGGTTTTAAAAATGGACAAAATGGGTGGCTGTTGGCCCTACTGGGCGACTTTATTGCCATGGTTGAATATACCTAATAATTTACTGCTTTCAAATCACAAATCACTTTTCATACCATTTTAAACTTTAGCTAAAGATTTAATGCCAATATAACAATATTTTAGGAACATTTTACAATTACTGTATTTTTGCAGGAATTACATTTCTTTATTCAGAACATATTTGTTTTATATTTCTTGTATTCCCGCTATTGTCACTCCTTTTAATAGATAGGGAGGATTTATTAACTCCATAAAAATGTGCATTAACATAAACCATATTTCCTGCACGTTACAGACAGTAGTGGTTTTAAATTCTACCAAACCAGTGAGTGCAAATGAAAGTCTCCAACTAACACTCTCATTAAAGATAAAAAAAAAACCTCCTGATAATGTAAAATGGTAAATGGCCTGTATTTGTATAGCACTTTTCTAGTCCCTATGGACCCCAAAGCGCTTTACACTTCATTCATACACATTCACACACACGATGGCAGCTACATTGTAGCCACAGCTGCCCTGGAGCGCACTGATAGAGGCGAGGCTGCCGGACACTGGCGCCACCACCAGTAGGCAACGGGTGAAGTGTCTTGCCCAAGGACACAACGACCGAGACTGTCAGAGCCGGGGCTCGAACCGGCAACCTTCCAATTACAAGATGAACTGCCAACTCTTGAGCCACGATCGGATGTGATAATTAAGCATTTAACCAATACAATTCTGTCTTTCTCCTTATGTCCAAATACCTTTTCTAGCTTTGTGTTACATCATACCACTACATATTCTGAGAGAATGTATGTTTCCATGCAATGTCATTAGTTGTGAAGGCACTGGACTATGAAAGAACGTTGGTAGGCATGAACCACCTTGCGCACACTCCATTGCAAAATCCATAAAACAGGTTTAAGCTGCAGCTGGCTGCCATGTCTTTCACTGCATACTCCCTCCCTACTAGACAGCTCACTCAGGGACTGTGAGAAAGAAAGACAGCTTGATGAGAAGTTAGTATTAGGATCGAGGCTCTCACAGAGGGAGTGGCACACAGGGTTCTTAAATTTCTATCTCTCTGACTCTAAGAGCTTTCTCTCTGAGTGAATGTGGAAAATCCCAGATTTGCTTAAGCCATTTAAATAAAATAGTCCTGCTGTAACTCAGACCCACTTTCCTCATATGGGCAACAAACCTCCCTCACTCCCACTCTACCCCCACATATACATTCATTCATCCTCTGCATACATTCTGGATAATACTTAATAAAAAAAAGACCCTGCCATTATTTTAAGTGTCTTGATGCATGCTCAATCATCCAGGAAAGTAAATCTCCAAAAGCTGATTCTGTTCATCTGGACGTAGCGTTTTCTGGGAGAAACGTTTTGTCTCTCATCAGGTGACTTCTTCAGTCTCAGCTGACTGCAGTTTTCCCCGATCTTATAAACAGTACATTTGCATAATGACTGAAACCAGCCAGTTTGAGCGCGGAGTCAAGGAGGCCATGTACGTGAAAAGGAAAAGACCATCTCTGAATCGAGGAGGGGGCCTAAGGGTACATCTTTCGCCATCTTACCATGCTGTGATTGCAGCCATTCCCCAACTCTCTGTGAATGGTACTCATGGGCATTGATCAGTGGTTGTTGATCAATGGTCATGAGAATTTGCATAATTATGATTAAGGAACTGACCTCCCAGCCCATTGTTCCTTCAGTGGGCTGGTTTCAGTCATTATGCAAATGTTCTGTTTATAAGATTGAAACCTGCAGTCAGCTGAGACTGAAGACGTCACCTGATGATGACGAAACATTTCTCCCAGAAAACGCTACGTCCAGATGAACAGAATCAACTTTTGGAGATTTATTTAAGTGGTGTATAAAGTGTGTTATAGTGTCAAAAGTGTCTTAGGAGAAGAAGAAGTAAGAAAATAAACCAGAAACGTATCAGGGCCGAGTCAGTGCAAACTTTACAGCAGCTAAGCTAAGCATCAGCTATACTTTGTAGAAATGGCCACAATCAGTGGAATCACAATAAATCTACTGAGATTTTTATTCAATTCAGTTTTATTTATATTGCACTAAATCACAACAGCAGTTGCCTGAAGGCAGAGTTTTTATGCAGAGTTTATCTTTTGGAAAAGCTGACATGTAATTTCACTTTGGTAATTAGTTGCAAATCTGAAAGGTCGATGAATTAAGAGAGCATTCAGTGTCTGTAAATCTCTGTCTCAGTCTTTGTACCTTATCAAGAACCTTCTTGAACCTTTTGTTAAAATATTGCACCACAGTGTTGCATCTATCATTTTGTAGCACTGTGTGCATGTCATGGGAGCAGCAGCCATTTTTATGTTCACTGCACGGCCCTTTTCCACGGCAGCGTGAGCCAAAAATGACGTTGCATTTGCTACCGTTTTCCACCTTTTTGTTGTCACTTCATGCACGTTGTATTTTTGTAACCTTTGTGTGTTGCGCCACTGCCACTGCAGCCAGGTCAAAAAGACAAGTGTGCAGTTGTATGCATGTATTTTTTTAACGACATATCAGTACAAAAGTTCAGAGATTTACAGATTATACAGAGGGAGATCCCCAAAAGCTGATTCTGTTCATCTGGATGTAGCGTTTTCAGTTAGAGGAAACGTTTCTCCCAATGACAACACTACGTCCAGATGAACAGAATCAACTTAACCTGGATGATTGAGCATCGAGACGATACAGAGGGAGATGTTGCCACCATGTGATAACATGAGACTTATTGTATCGTATGAATCTATCGTTGGCCTATCATCACCTTTCACTCGGGAAATGCTGCTTCTCCCTTTCTCCAGCCACCACCTTCAGGTCTTCTATGAGTTAACAGTGTTATCCTCTGCACCTCCATAATGTCAGTATATAAGACAGGATGTATTCAGAATGTTTTTAAATAGCTTAAAAAATAAGGAATCAGTAAATTGTTGACATTTAAGAGCCAAAATAACATTTTATTGTTCATTATTTGTACTGATTTGGAACATTTGGAATATTCAGCTTTTTGACACATTGTTATCTTGTGGTCCAATCCAATTTTATGAAATCCTGTTATAGCAGTGCTCTGTCAGAGATGGGTAGCATGAGTAAAGACTTTTGGTTTGTCTAAGGCATTAATTACTACTACTACTGCAATTAAGAATTTATTAATTTGCTTGTTTTAACTAGGTTAGTTCCAAAGTTAAAGAGAAGACATAAGGGAAATATTCAACCATGTGGCTGCCCACTCTGTCCAATCTTTGTGTTTGTGTCTGAGTGTGTGATCCAGGCAGCAGATGCAGAGACCGGGCCCAGTCTGGGTGTTGCCCACTCACAAACCTAATCTTGTCTTCAGCCTCACCTGCTCCTCTGCTCCTTCCATTCAGGATCTGAGCTCATGCCGAAAGCCCTCTCCACCAGAATTGTAGGAGGAATCTGGTGGTTTTTCACACTCATCATTATCTCCTCCTACACGGCAAACTTAGCAGCCTTCCTAACTGTGGAGAGGATGGAGTCGCCTATCGACTCTGCTGATGATCTGGCCAAGCAGACAAAGATAGAATATGGAGTTGTAGAAGACGGCGCATCCATGACCTTCTTCAAGGTTAGTTACACTTTGACATTATCAATTCAGAGTTTTCTCATGAAAGATTACATGTGGGGAAAAGGTTGTGTTGGTAGTAGTACAAACACATCTGACTTTTTGCTGGGGCCCTAAATGTAATTATACAGGAAGTAACGAAATAACGTACGCTTACATGGACTGATTCTCATATAGCACTTTTCTGGATCTCTACGCTTTTCTTCTCCCAGAGCACTCAAAGCACTGTTTACAACATGCCTAATTCACCCATAAATACAAACTTTATTTCTGTGTAAAAGTGCTTTGTATCTAACATTCACACACTCCAGTGGATGCATTGGAAAGCAACTTGGAGCTATTATCTTGTCCGAGGATATTTGGCATGCAGATGGAGCAGCCAGGAATCAAACCACCAACCTTCTTATTTGTTGAGGACCTGCTCTACCTTCTGAGTTACAGCCCCCCCAGTTTAAACCTCAAAGCTACTGGGTAAGATTTAGGAAAAGATTATCTCTTGAGTTAATATAAAAAATGATGCACATGTTAGAAGGCTTACACAGAAACTAAGCCTTTCTTGGTTGTATGAACTAGTTTGATATCACTATGACAAGTGATATCAAACTAGTTCATACATCCATCTAAAGGGGACGGTGGTAATAATCATTGTTGGGAAGGTTACTTTTAAAATGTATTCCATTACAGATTACATGCCCCAAAATGTATTTTGTAACGTATTCTATTACGTTACTCAATGACAGTAGCGCATTTGAATACTTTGGATTACTTAATATATTATCAAGCTTTTTACAACTACATGAATGTAGTACTGCTGTGATTTATTACTGTTACTGAAGGTTACTCTCCACACCAACACCAACTAGATGTTTAAATCTTAATATAAATGAGTAACAGTAGGTGGACATTAGGTAAGGCTGCACTTTTTGCAGCGATCTCGTATAGAAAACTATTTTTATATAAAACAGGTCCACGGCTTCGAACCGTAGTAAAGGGACCTCTGGCTAATACGTCGGGTTCGTGTCGGCTCGTAGCCGAAAACTAGCTTTACTTTGTTGTCTGGGTCAACTTTGCTAGCAGAGACAGAGAGAGGTGTTGAAAGGCTGCTCCAACAGAACTTATTGTTTCAGAGGAAAACACGAACACAGTAATAATAATAATGGATTGCATTTATATAGCGCTTTTCAAGGCACCCAAAGCTCTTTACAATTCCACTATTCATTCACTCTCACATTCACACACTGGTGGAGGCAGCTACAGTTGTAGCCACAGCTGTCCTGGGGAAGACTGACACGGCCATCACGCCATCGGCCCCTCTGGCCAACACCAGTAGGCGGGAGGGTAAAGTGTTGCCCAAGGACACGACGACCAGGACAGAGAGCCCGGAGAGAACCGATGACCTTCCGGTTACAGATGCGCTTCCCAACCCCCTGAGCTGCCCATCAGGCTGCATGCTTTAGGGCTATGCCTGTAACACTCTGCCTATTGCTTTTATATTAAATCATTTTTTGAATAATAATTTTTAAAAATATTTCTTCACGTCAATTATGTGGGGTCTAGTAGAGGCGACATGGGCCATGACATTGAGACACAGGCATTAGAGCCTCTTAATGCATGTTTTCTTTGGGTTTCCACCGGTGTGGAATTACCAAAAATAGAGAGAGCATAGCCTAACATGTGAAACAGGAAAATCCATAATCCGTAATCCATTTATTTCAACAAAATAACTAAAATACCACCTTTTTAAACAGTAATTGTAACGGAATACAGTTACTCATATGTTGTATTTTAAATACATGTATTCTGTTACTACCCAACACTGGTAATAATAACCTGCACAATCAGTCAAAGTCCAGAGTCCAAAACTCAGGGATCCCAATTTCACATGAACATCACATAAGAAAAATCACTTCTGCATGTATTTTGTTATTCTTCGTACATGTATGGTGATAGATGGCGGCGCACACTGTTGCACCGTCTCAGTACTCCTTCCCTTTGTTTAGTTTGTTTAGATTGTATGTCCGTCTTATTATTTTTTTTTGCACTATCGGCTCTGCTTTCAAAGTTTGCTACACCCGCCAGAGCCTCATAGACATCGGTGACCAGCATCAAACATCTGTTTCACTGGACTTTCTTCGCACGCACAACATCCTAGATCACATAGCGAGACCACCGGGCTCCCCGTGGATTGTTATCAGGTCTACGTGGCGGCGCAGACGGAGGGAGAGGAAGCAAAAGCGGGGCCGTAGGTCCGGCATTATGCTGAGGCTAAAAAACAAACCACACAAGCCACCTCTGCCGAGCCTCTCTCTCTCCAATGCCAGATCCCTCGTGCAAAAAACGGATGACCTGGAACTACAACTAGTGGGAAATCGCTATGTTCGTGACTGCTGTGCCTTGATCATCACCGAAACCTGGCTTCACCCAGGAGTACCTGATGCTAGCGTGCAGCTAGCAGGCCGCACTCTGCTCCACTGGGACAGGACAAAGGACCACGGTAGGCGGACTCATCTCAAAGGGAGACGAGGCAGCCTACAGAGAGGAAGTCCTGAAGCTGGCAGCCTGGTGTTCAGAAAACAACCTGGCACTGAACACTAAGAAAACCAAAGAGCTCATTGTTGACTTCAGGAGGCACAGCACTGACTTGGCCCCCTTTACATTAACAGGGAGTGTGTGGAGAGGGTCCACACCTTCCGGTTCCTTGGTGTCCTCATCTCTGCTGACATCTCCTGGACAGACAACATCTCAGCGGTCGTCAAGAAGGCCCAACAGCGGCTGCACTTCCTGAGAGTGCTGAGGAAGTACAAGCTGAACTCCAACCTGCTGCTGACCTTCTACCGCTCGTCCATTGAGAGCCTGCTAACCTACTGCATCACGGTATGGTACGGCAGCTGCACCAAGGCGGATAGAGTGAGGCTTCAGAGTGTGGTCAAGACAGCACAAAAGATCATCGGCTGCCCTCTCCCCTCGCTGATGGACGTTTATTCCTCCCGCTCCCTCAGCAGAGCAGCAAACATCATCAAGGACAGCTCCCACCCTGGTTTCAACATGTTCAGCCTGCTTCCCTCAGGGAAGTGCTACAGGGGCATCAACACAAAAACCCACAGACTCAAAAACAGTTTCTTCCCCAAAGCCACAACCACCCTGAACTCACACATGCACCGATAACACAGCCCCCCCTCCCCCTTTCTTTTTTTTCTTTACCTTTTCTCCCCCCCTTCCTCTATGGACCACCACTGTGCAATACCATTTCTATGTGCAATAACCCAACTGTATATACACAACACTATTTATTACATATTACTTCTTTTTAAATCGGCTTGTATATTTGTACATGTTATATATATATAAAATTTATATATATATATCTTTTCCCCCTGTTAATACTATCCATTCTGCGCTGCAGAACTGTGCCCCCCCCCCCCAAGCATGTTTGCACTGAGTAGGAGATGCTCTGTATCTCATTGTACAACTGTATAGTGGCAATAAAGGCATTCTATTCTATTCTATTCTATTCTATAAAGGTATCATGATATTTAGACTCACACCTTTAAGGTATGTTTAGGCTTTGTGGAACAGAACATTGCCTGCCCTTTAAGGTGTCATTAAATAGGATGTTCCCTTCATCCTCTGGGAAATGCTGATGTCTTACCCTAGAGTTCGGCCTTGTTTCCCTACATGATAAGTAGTTTAGAGATGCTACTTGTTTAAATTCCTAGGGTTTGGGTTATTACCAGGTTCACATGTGATAAAGTCCTGTTCTGACACCATTTGAGCTCTACTCCTTTTTGTGTACCTTGAAGCCTTGCTTTTATTCTCCTTGAGCGTTAAGTACACACAGTTGCAAAAGGCTATTGTTATCCACTGAGAAAGCATATTCTTTTTTTTATATTTGTAGTTTTTATTGGTGATCTTGTACAAAGAATTTACACAAGGAACTTTACAACATACATGGGGACAAAGATCAAATAGCCATATACATATTCGGTCAATATATCCAACAGAATTTCAATTTCTCAAAACTGTAGTCAGATGTAAGCAATAGTTCCCAGTTGTTTTTCTCCCCCACCTTCCCCCTGTATATAGAGTGTTTATTTGGAATATATATATATCTGGACAACATTTTCATAATAGGGAAAGAAACCAACAAACAATAGCACCAAAGAAGAAATCAAAAAACAAACACACACCCAGCTGGACAAGTGCAGGCAGTTGATCCAATCTTGGTGTGATGTCCACCTTATAGTTGCTTACCTAAGTAAGGAGAGTCATTTAAAAAAAATCACTTCTTAGCTCTTTAATGTACTGGGTCCATCTGGACCAGAGTTTGTTGAATCTGTAATGGTAAATAGACTGGTTCTTATATGGCACTTTTCAACTCTTCTGAGCACTCAAAGCACTTTACACAACTTGTTCATTCACCCATTCGCACAAGCACATTTTCTAAGTGCTTTCTAACTAACGTTCACACACAGTCATACTTCGATGGATGCATCAGAAAGCAACTTAGGGCTAGTATCTTGCCCAAGGATATTTGGCATGCAGACTAGGGGAAACCAGGAATCGAACCACCATCCTTCCAATCAGTAGATGACCTGCTCTACCGCCTGAGCTACAGCCACCCCAATTTGTCTCTTTGAAGCCGCAAAGACATAGTAAGCCTCTCCATTACAAATATTTGGTACACAGTATTGTAAAGTTCTTGTATTCCTGGTACGTTTGGTTGCAGCCAATGCCTAGTCAATGTTTTCTTAGCTGACATTATAATAATTCTCAGTAGGCATTTATCTGCTGGAGTGGTTATATTTAGGGGTTCCTGGCCTAAGTACATATGTAAGAAATCAAAGGGGAGTTGGGCACCTAAAATCGTCATTTTGATGGCTTTTTTGGTCTGGGGTAAGAAAGAAACGAATTATATTTTTCCAGCCAAACTCTCTCCAATTGGATGAGCAGGTTGTTTCCCATTGCACTTTACATAACAGGTCCCAACCTTTGTCCTCCATCAC